GGGGCCTCGGGAAAACTGGGATGGGGCAGGAAAATTGGGAAATGGAGTAGGAAAACAGGGAATGGGGCAGGAAAACTGGGAGTAGGAAAACAGGGAACGGGGCACAAAAACTGGGGATGGCGCGGGGAAACTGGGAATGGGGTGGGAAAACGGGATGGGACGGGAATGGGGCAAGAAAACAAATGGAATGGGGCAGGAAGACAAGGAATGGGGAAAGAAAACTGGGAATGGGGCAGGAAAACAAATGGAATGGGGCAGGAAAAATCAGGGAATGGGGCAGGAAAACACTCTGGAATCCATCCCTACAGGAGGAGCTTGGAGATCCCTTCCCAAGTCCAACCATTCCAGGAAGGACAGGGGAGGGTTAAATGGGGGGGGTTATTCCATTAATAATGAACGGGGTTCCCAGAGATATTCCCAAAATAAATTCCCACAGTGAGGGGGAAAATCCCCTCGGGAACATGGGGTGTTGGTGGCGGGAGATTGGGATTTTATGTTGGGATATTGTTTTTTTTTTAATCGGGATGATTTTATTGGGATATCGAGATGTTTCTGTGGAGATATTGGAACGTTTGGGGATATTGGGATATTTTTATGGAGATATCAGATGTTTTTATTGGAATATCGGGATGTCTCTGTGGAGATAGCGGGATGTGATGTCGGGATATTGGGATGTGGGTACCGGGATGTTTTTGTTGGCATTCGGGGGGGGATGGGTTTATCGGGATATCCGGATGTTTCTGTCGGGATATCGGGGTGTTCGTGTCTGACCTGCACGGGTGTAACTGAGCCCGGCCACGCCTTTGTCCAGCCCGGAGCTGTTTATCGGGATAAACCCCCCGATTTCTGGGACTCTCTGGGATCCAGGCCGGGGAGGGGCTCTGGACGCGGCTCCAATCGGGCGCTGCGCGGGGCAGCCCCGTCGCTATGGCAACGGGAGGCCTTCCACGAGGGCCGAGCGCGCGGCGCCCCTGCCGTTGCTATGACAACGGGGGCCTTTCACGCTGCTGGCGCGCAATATGGCGGCGCCCTTGGCGTTGCTATGGCAACGGGGGCCTTTCACGCTGCTGACGCGCAATATGGCGGCGCCCATGGCGAGCGCGGGGATGGGTGAGACACGGGGGGAACCGGGACCCCCCAGAACCTCCTGGGACCCCCCGAGCGGGACTGATGGGCCCAGAACCCCCGGGAGGGACAGGAGAGGATCCTCCGGGACGTCCTCTGACCCCTGGGAGGGACGGTGGGAGGGGTGAGTCCCGGGACCCCCTGAGACCCCCCCAGGACCTCCTGGGACCCCCGAGGTCCCCCCCGGGCCCCCAGAGAACCGCCCTCTCCTCTCCCCCCAGGCCGGGGGTCCTGACCCGGAGGAGGCAGCGGTGGGGCTGGGAATGACTTGGGAATGACTTGGGATCGACTGGGATGAGCCGCGGTAAGGGGTGAGGGGAGCCAGGGGGATCCAGGTGGGTGGGACGTGGGGGGGATCCAGGTGGGATCCAGGGAGATGTGAAAGGTCTGGGGATCCAAGTGGGATCCAGGTGGGATTCAGGTGAGTGGGACGTGGCTGAGGATCCAGGTGGGATCCAGGGGTGGGATTCAGGTGGATGGAACAGACCTGGGGATCCACGTGGGACAGGGGTGAGATCCAGGGGGAAACCAGGTGGGATCTGGGGCTGGGGATCCAGGTGGGATCTAGGTGGGACATGTTGGGAATCCGAGTGGGATCCAGGTGGGTGTGAAAGGTCTGGGGGCTCCAGGTGGGATCCAGGTGGACTCCAGGTGTGATGCTCCAGACAAACCCCTGCCTGCCCAGGTGTTGGGAAGCTGTGGTGCTTCCCTGTGTCCTGAGGGAATTTGTGTCTCCACAGGTGGCCCCAGCCCGGAGCAGGATGGCAGGTGAGTCCCTCACCTGGATCCCCAGGAATGCCAGGAGAGAGGGGGGGACACGGGGACAGGTGGCAGCTTTTGCTGCCTGCCTGGGGAGGCCATCTGGGATCACCTGGGCTCACCTGGGATCACCTGGGATCGCCTGGGCTCACTTGAGTTCACCTGGTCCCACCTGAGCTCACCTGGGATCACCTGGTCCCACCTGAGCTCACCTGAGTTCACCTGGGCTCACCTGGGTTCACCTGAGGTTATCTGGGATCACCTGGTCCCACCTGAGCTCACCTGGGCTTACCTGGGATCCCCTGGGATTACATAAGATCACTGGACTCATCTGAGCTCACCTGAACTCACCTGAGCTCACCTGGGATCACCTGGGCTCACCTGAGCTCACTTGGGATCACCTGAGCTCACCTGGGCTCACCTGAGCTCACCTGGGCCATGTCATGTCCCAGATTCCGCGGAGGACGTGCTCGGGGATCTCCTGGGATTCGATGGTAAAATGGGACCCTCTGGATGTGCCCCAGGATCACCTGGGGGGGATCACCTGGGGGGAAACACCTGAACTTGGGATCACCTGTCCTGGGATCACCTGGGGGGGATCACCTGCCCTGGGAACACCTGGAGGGGATCACCTGTCCTGGGAACACCTGTCCTGGGATCACCTGAGGGGGATCACCTGTCCTGCGATCACCTGTCCTGGGATCACCTGAGGGGGATCACCTGGGGGATCACCTGTCCTGGGATCACCTGGAGGGGATCACCTGGGGGGGATCACCTGTCCTGGGATCACCTGTCCCGGGATCACCTGGAGGGGATCACCTGGGGGGGATCACCTGTCTTGGGATCACCTGGGGGGGAACACCTGTCCTGGGATCACCTGTCCTGGGATCACCTGTCCTGAGATCACCTGTCCTGGGATCACCTGGAGGGAATTCCCCCTTCCCTCCGATCCCGAGTCCCTCCCTGACCCTCCCTTGTTCCCAGAGGATCCTCCCGTTCCCCCTTCCCGCGGATCCCAACTCACCTGCGCCCAGGTGAGCTCCAGGTGAGTGCTCAGCCCCTCCCACCCCCCATCCCAATCCCTGATCCCAACCCCTGATCCCAAACCCCTGATCCCAAACCCCTGATCCCAATCCCTGATCCCAAATCCCCCTGATCCCAAATCTCTGATCCCAAATCCCTGATCCCTGTCACAGGGGGGCCCTGGAGGAGGATCCCGGCGGGAAATTCCCTGGAGGTGATGTAGGAGAGACACAGGTGAGTGAGGGCAGAATTCCCAACTTTTGGGGGACGCATAAATGGAGAATTCCCAACTTTTTGAGGGACAGGTGGGGGCAGGATTCCCAAGCTTTTATGAACAGGTAAAGGCAGGAGTCCCAACCTTTTGGGACAGAATTCCCAAACTGTCTGGGGCAGAATTCCTAAACTTTCTGGAGACAGGTGAGGGCAGAATTCCCAACCTTTCTGGGT